CCCCAAAACCCCAAAACCCCACTTTACCAGTTCAATAAAAAGAAATATGATTAAAAGTTAAGATAACAAAATAAATATATAGTATTTACACGAGTTTTTAATTATATGATACAGATAGGAATGATTTCTCTCATTATTCATTATTCTTTGTGATATTTTTAAAATTATCATCTTGTCCTTTTGAACTTAAAATTTTCTATGGTTTATATCTCGGAAAGGCAAATAGTCTTTCCAATTTGAGGAGAGCCTCTCTTACTAACTTTGGGTTCCGAAGATTCGTTGGATGGGTTGGTAGTAGGTGTCAACATAGTCTCAATTGTATCTGGTTTCAGATCATCTTTCGGAGAATCTGTTGACTTTCTCTTCTTGCTTTTAATGTTCGTGAATCCAGACTGAGTTAATTTTAAATCTTCCTCATACTCTTACTTAGGTTTTAGCCCATAGCCATCAAGATTGAATAAAGCTGAGGTGTCTACAATAATATCTTTTGCCGTTAATCCTGATTAATTTGTTGCAAATGCCATACTAACCATGTCTCTATTTATTTGTTCAATTTTTGTCTCTGTTAGATGATTTGAAAAATTTTAGGAGTTTTAGAATGGATCGAGTGGATGTGGATTTGTGTTAGTACTTTAAGACTATTTGTAATTTTCATTCTAGCTATTGATTAAGTCGTGAGACTTTTGAGAAAAACCCAACTTTACATCAGCCTGACTTGGTTAACTATTAGGCAGAACAATCTTATCACATTTGCAATTCGAGTTTTGAAATTCTTCTAGTTTATTCAAGATTAATTTCAGTTGAGTTTATTGAGTTTCAAATTAGTCCTTTAATTCCTAATGCATATACAGAAATCTTTTAAGCCTCATTTCTTAATCTAGTTATCTTTAGGAAAGATTTCTTAGCTCTATGAAATTCTAGGTATTTGGAGGTAGATTCATTTGCTATGCACCTTAAACATAAGCTGCTTAAGTTGGCATTACTGGCTTATGTTAAGCGCCTCTTACAGGCTGCATATAATGATTTTCAATCAGCTACGCACATTATGAGTTAAAGAGAGCAATTAAAGTATTGTTTTCCTTAAGTTTATTATGCTCATGTGCCTTCTTAACAAACATATCTTCATTTCTGCAAAATTGAGGAGTAATTATGTAGACACTATGAGCATTGTGCTTCTTTTTTTAATACTAAGTCAAAAATCCCCAGCACATGAGGCATACGAGTTGCTTATTAGTGCTTTCCTAAACAGTAAGATCAAAGAAATAATACATAGTTAGCTTCAAGCTTTTTTATGAAATTTCTGTATTCCTCAGATTCTCTGTGGACATATTTTAGAGTATATTGTTCTGTCATTCCTGTAAATTCTAACTTCCCACCAAAGAATTAATGAAATGACTACTTTGACTAAATTAACACACCTCCCTCGAAATTTACACGCTTTAATTAAATTTGATTTCTCAATTTTATCTTTTTCGCCCATACCTAATTGATTACGGTTATAGGGGTTTTGGGGTTTTGGGGTTTTGGGG